ATTAACACTACAACAAGAACTAGAAACATTCGGATTTAGCCGCACGTCTCGCAAGACGGCTAAACCCGAATGATTCTAGTTCTAGGTCTTGTGTTAGTTCTAGTGGTAATGCTACTGCAAAACTTGGTTTTTGTATTCTATTTTCTATTTTTCTGTCTTATGTTCCATTCTTAGTAATAATGGTGCCCAAGTATTCAAATTTATCCACCATTTCCAGTCTCTCCCCACTTACCATTATATTTATTGTTGAATATGTAGTGCGGTGATTAAATAAAATTCGAAATAAATGTATTACAACTGGTTTATTTTAAGTTTAAATTCAACCTGACATGTTTCGGTCTTTTAAATGATCATCATCGGAGGTATCGTAAAAATGACACACGAGGAATAACATATAATAAAATAAAATAGCTGCCAGCAGATATGTATGGAAGAAGTCTTTGTAGAAAATATCAGGAAATGATTTCAGAATTTTATTTAATCATTATATTTATGTTTTTATCCTTTTCCCTTTTAGTTATATGCATAATCTTGGTTTTCCCAGGTTTTCCAGGTGGCAATTTTTCTTCTTAGTTCTGTTTTCGTACTTACTATCAGTATTGTATGGTATGTGTCTTTACCCATATCCATAGTTTTATCTATTAATGTTCTGATTGTATATATGCACTCTTATATCTGCCTGGTGGGTCGAAACGCCGTTTGTTTCTCTTCCAATTTATCTTCTGCTTCCTTTCTTAGGCGTATTTCTACAATTTGTTTTCTTTACCTAACATTTATAATTCATTCTTTATTCAATAAATTTTTATGTATTATTTTGTTTCAGATGTTGTGAACGAAATGAAAATCTTCCATTAACGCCCATGCTTATAGATCAATACGTAGAGACTGATCCGAATTTGGAAAAAGCTACCCCAAAAAATTTCATGGATGTTTCAACTTACCAAGAATTCGGAAAAGAATACCTAGAACTACAAAAAGCAAATATTATCAAATTAGATGAACTTATAGATCGCACTAAATGTTCATTAAATTTAATGAAGCAGAAATTTAGAAATCCAGAAATCACTCAAAATCAAGATAAACGTAAGATTTCTCCTCATATTTCTGTTCTTCACGTCGACAATGAAAGTACATTAACAACAAATTCAAGTTGTAACACAATCAATGATATATTAATGTCGCACCAAAAAAGAATCTCAACACAACCCTCTCTAACACAAATAAAATTAAATGTTTCCCATGATGACGCTATAATCCCTCCAGAAGTTTCGCTCATAAAACATATCATATCATCGTTTGAAAACAGCATCTCCCCAATTACCCCGTACATTTTCCCAATTAACACTCAAAATAATACGATTTCAAATATATTAGCAGATTCTATAAGCACTATGGTATCTCAAGCTATTCACAAAACAGTTGCAGAAGCTATTAATAATTATAATAAAAAAATGATAACTGGTGATGATATGTTTTTGGGAAACATAGATAAGGATCTTTTCAAGATCTCCAGCGAATTTAACCTTAATGATATTGGAGAAAATAGTAATTTGAAAAAATATATGAAACGTCAGTGTCGATCGCAAGATATATATAGTTAAAGCTTGATAAATTAAATATTTTTTGAATTATAAATAAAGGGGATTATTTAAAACTGTGTTATTTTGTAATTTAGTATAGACAATTGTTATAGCAAATGTGTATATTGGGTTGCATAACAATCAAGTTTTAATACGCCATTTTTTATTTAAATAAATTTTAATTGAAATTAAATTATTTCGAGGAAAAATGGTTAATTAAATTATTGTTTATATTACTTATAGATTTGAAAAATAATAAACGTTTGTGTAAAAACAATAAGATTTGGAAGGTAAATTAGAAAACAAAGATATTATAGTTTAGTTCAGTAAACGTCCGTTAGAGTAGTGTGATAACACGGTGTCGGTAAGTAAGAGGTGCGGTAGTGTAATCAAGCAATCCGAGAGTAAACGGAGAGGTGGCTAAGAAAAAAAAGATGGCGACGGGCGAATCCGCTGATAAACAAAATAAACGATGATCCCTCTTCGGGGAGCACCGGCCCAGTGTGAGTCGACCGCGCGCGCCCCGTGAACCACTCGTCCGGACATGTGAGTGTGCGGGAGTGAAACGAAATTAAAGTTATCGAAATTAACGAGAAACAAAAAGTCGAGAACTACGACGAAGACGACGACGACGACGACCAGGTGGTCGAGACAGTGTTTTTGTTTTTTTTTGTGACGTTCCCGAAATGTACCTAGTTTTGGGGCCCACTTAACCATCTAGAAAGTGCGGGCCGATAACGCGTTTATTTTTCCGTTTATCATTTCACAACCCTTTTTTGATTTTTCGGAAATAGAACAACCAGAATAATAGATGACGGATGCCTCCGTTGGTACGCACCTACCATTCTTCGAGGTCCATGGAATCCCTTCGAAATGGAGAAACGACGGTCGCGACGGTGCACGGTGGTGTCGATAGTGTCGGCAGCAATCCGTTCGTGCCCGTCCTGTGGACCGCCCTGTACGATTACGATGCACAAGGCGAGGACGAGCTGTCCCTCAGGAAGGGCCAGATCGTCGAAGTCCTTTCCGAGGACGCCAAGATCTCCGGCGACGAGGGCTGGTGGACGGGTAAAATCGGGGACAAGGTGGGCATATTCCCTGCAAACTTTGTCATCTACGATGACCCGATGAACCAGTTTGGCGCCTACATCGAAGACATCACCCCCAACGAAATCGACTTCAGTGAGCTGGAGCTCGAGGAGGTGATAGGCGTCGGGGGCTTCGGCAAAGTGTATAGGGGCGTTTGGGACGGCCACGAAGTCGCCGTTAAAGCCGCACGCCAGGACCCGGATACGGACCTCTCAGTCACCCTTGACAACGTTATCAAAGAAGCTAAACTTTTCTGTTTGTTGCAACACAGGAATATTGTGCAACTTGAAGGTGTGTGTTTACGGGAACCGAATATGTGTCTTGTGTTGGAATATTGTCGGGGTGGTTCTTTGAATCGGGTGTTAACTGGCAGAAAAATACGACCGGACGTGTTAGTTGACTGGGCGATTCAAATTACAAGGGGTATGGACTATTTACACTGTAGAGCACCTATTTCACTCATACATAGGGATTTAAAAAGTTCAAATGGTAAGTAAGACACAATCTAATTCAATCAATCCATTTAAATTTCTTATTAACCATAAACGCCATTTTTTGTTGGCTAACTATTTCAAATAATATTTAAATAAATACAAACATTCAATATTGCTGTTTGGCAATAATTACAATTCTAATAAATAGTGATATTTGTGAAATGTTTGTGTATACCAAACAGGTAAGTAAGTCAGTTATTAACTGTATGTGGAACTAACACTAGACTTGTTAGAATGGCTCTAGTTCTAAGTTTAGTGTTTGTTCTTGTGAATAATTAAAACTAGAACTGAGTTTTGTGAGAACTGAGCAATACTAGAACTAACACTAGACTTAGAACTAGAAACATTCGGGTTTAGCCGCACGTCTCTCAAGACGGCTAAACCTGAATGATTCTAGTTCTAGGTCTTGTGTTAGTTCTAGTGATAGCGCTAGTGCAATACTAGAATTAACACTAGACCTAGAACTAGAAACATTCGGGTTTAGCCGTGCGTCTTTTAAGACGGCTAAATTCGAATGGCTCTAGTTCTAGGTTTAATGTTAGTTCTTGTCAATAATGAAAACTAGAACTAACACTAGACCTAGAACCACCACTGGCACTCTTCGAAATTCCTCTATGTCAAGGAAAGCTCCCAATATAGATTCCTTCCAATCGAGTGCTTACTCAATACGCCCCATCACCATGTGATACAAATGCAAGGGAAACGCTTTAAGTACATTTTCTCTAATGTAATGATCACATAGTTTTTCAATTGTTTTTAAAACAAAAGATGAGAGACTAATAGGTCGAAAGGCTTTAGGATCCTTTAGGTCCTTTTTTCCAATCTTTGGTATAAATGTTACTGTAACATTCCTCCAGCTATGAGGACATAGTTAAACGCTAGGCCAGCTTTAAAAACCCTCATCAAGTGTATTTTCATATCTTCTAGGCTCCATTGAAGAAGAGCAGGAAAGATACCGTCGGGTATCTTTCAAAACTGCCAACTCCCTCTCCACCAACTCGTTTTGTACATCCTGGCTAGCTATCTGCCAGTAATCTCTGGTAAGAGAGTTGTTTGGTGTGAAAGCGTTGAAAAACTGCCATCGTTCTTCTCGTCTCTCTTACACTTTTGCTCTCAGATGCGTCAATATAGAGAAAAATACGAAAACATGAAAATTTTATGAATTTCGTTGTTCCAAAAACTGTTTATGGTAGCACTCTATTTGTATACTTGCTTTGAGAGTATGTCGTTTTTCTTCACTCAACAAAACGATTTTCTTGTGGATATACAAGAATATGATAAGCTTGAGCTAAGAGTAATAATCTTCCTTCAAGAATATATTTCTCTCTGTGTAGTGATAGTACAATACTAGAACTAACACTAAACCGAGAACTAGAATCATTCGGATTTAGCCGCACGTCTTTCAAGACGGCTAAACCCGAATGATTCTAGTTCTAGGTATTGTGTTAGTTGTAGTGATAGTGCTAGTGTAAAACAAGAACTAAATTAGACCTTAAAATTAGTAGACCTTGAAATTAGTAGTAATTAATACCTTGTCAGCAGCATCTAGCCTTCTGTAAACAATAGGTACTCTTTTGAAAGCAATATTTGGTCTTTTACAAATAGTATCTAGTGTGTTGCAAACAATAGATAAGCTTTTCTAAATGCAGTATTAAGTCTTGTATCAGAAATATCTAATCTTAAAGCTTCTCCCAGTACTATCTAGCCTTCCAGACCGCTTACGTCATAATAACACCATAACACCATTGGGGTTTAGCCGTCTTGAAAGACGTGCGGCTAAACCCGAATGTCTCTAGTTCTAGTTCTAGTGTTAATTATTGACAAGAACTAACACTAAACCTAGAACTAGAGATATCCAGGTTTAGCCGTATAATAATACAATTAAAACTAGTGTTAACAATAGATCTAGAACTAGAAACATTCGGGTTTAGCCGTGCGTCTCTTAAGAGTTCTAGTCTCTTCAGTTCTAGGTCTAGTGTTAGTTCTAGTTTTTGATCAATAAAGATATACAATTAACGGTGAATGAGAACTAAATCTAGAACTAATATTAGCATCAATACTAGACCTAGAATTAGAGACATTCGGGTTTTGTTGTCTTAAGAGACACACGACTAAACCCGAATGTTTCTAGTTCTAGGTCTAGTGTTAATTCTTGTAATAGTGCTAGTATTAGTTCTAATTTTATATACAGTGTGACCCATTTGAAAGCGGAACACCCTCGTAAAATTTGTATTTATTATCCGATTTCGACAATTTCTTTTTGAATTGTAGACCACAAAAAACTACCTCCGGACAAAGAGTCATGATTTTCTAAGAAAACCCAAGGCTTACTATTTTACTTTTTAGGTGCTAAAAATGAAGAAATCATATTAGGAATTTTTTTAGAAAAATCTGAGTACACCATTGCATTAAGCGCCTCTTGAAATGGGCATATACCAAGTTTCATCAAAAAGGTTAGAAATTAAAACCGAAATAATTGAAAAATATAATTTTTTTTTAAATTGATTTGATCTAGTAAACCATGACAAAAAAGTTAATAAAATGCAGACAATAATATAAAAGCTATTTACATTTGTTACAGATGAAATTAATTAATAAAAAATTATAGGGTAGTTATAATTATAGAAATAGGGTAATAAATACAGATTTTACGAGAGTGCTCCTCTTTCAAATGGGTCACACTATATAATATTAATATATTATATTTCTAGTTATATTGATAGTCGTTGTTTTTATTAGAAATTATTGACTCAGATTTCGCCGCAAGTAAGTGTACTAAAATGATTAATATTATTTTTTGTTTTAGTTGAATTACTTTAATCAAAAGATTTAGTGCAAACAAACATTTAACACTAGAAAAATAACAGATAAAACTTAAAAAATGCAACGTCACATATTTCATTAAAAAAATAAAGGTGAAGTGCATCTTAATAGATAACACAAAATTATTTATCTGGCCATTTTCGCCTTTCTTATCTTTTATTTCTAAATATAGTTGCGTATGTTCGGAATTTCGTTCAAAGCTTACTGCATATCGCTGTATTTCGCAATATCTTAACCTTAAATTTCTATTGAAATAGTTCTTTTTGTGTTTCGTAATGTTGTTAAATCACCTTCGAAGAAATCGTTGTTGACAAAAATGTGTAAAATTTTATCTTCAATTATGTTAATGATTACAATAAAGATCCATTTAATTTTCCAATAATAACTGTTTATATCGTCGTAAACGTTTTATACGGCTTTCTCGATGGGATTAAATTGAGTTCTTTATCGGTGGTCATGTTTGGGAAATTGGCGACGGCGGCGGCAATCCTTCGTTGCGGCTCTTCTTTTCGATTTCATTGAACCCAAACGATCGTCCGTCTTTAGTATGCAGACGGCGACGGAGCTGGCGTATGCAAAATAAAAACGCGGTAACCGCTCGCGCAATTTGCATTCACGTCACCGTACTGACACTTCCATATACCGGGTGTTTTACGTTCCGTGGCTCATCTCCCTTTCCATTCGACATCGATCCCTTTCGTGCGTTCGATACCTAACTTTATCGACTTCCCGAGAGTCGTAAACTTTTAGGCGCATTTTAAAATTTTGATGACTCTCTGCGACGCTTTTATTACTACATGGAAGAAGTAGGCTTTATTTCAATTGAGGCAACTTTTTAAACCGAGAATGGACAAAGTCGCGGTTCGTACAATAATAAAAATTGGATGCTTAGTGCCCGGTAGCTTCGTAAAGTATAATAAATGTTCGAGGATATAGAGAAATATGTCTGCGGCAATAAATTCACCCACCAGACCCGTTCCAAATTGATTCATTGTCGGCGAACGAGCCAACTTTACTGGATTTTAGGAAATGGTTAACGTCCACTTGGAATTATTATAGCGTACAACAAAATTGGTTGTGTAAAACCTTCTTTTTTTCGTAGCCGTGCGAACCAATTCAATGACATCATTAAACCATCGTCAAGTGTGCTAACGACATAAGTACCACAGAAGGTACAAAGCGCCAATTGTACTTCGCTGTTCGACTCCGCACAGCAGTCGAACCTCTTTATCGATTCGAGAGCAGCAAACGCTTTCCACGCGACATTCGCCTCCTCTGCATTCGACCCCGTAATTGCATACTGTGAGGGTAAGATATTTTCTTCTCCCCCATCGTGTATCGATTGGATGGTTGTGTTGGTGAACACCATGATATTATCAAATGCTTCTTACCATTTATAATATAATAATATATACAAAAATAATATATAGGTTGCTTAACTTTTTAACAAATTAGACAATGTATCAATAATTTTTAAAGATATGTATTCCTAGCACACGTGTTCACCAACATTACGGTGTTATTTTGCAAGTAAAGGTTTGGCTCATTAAATTCGGTCGATCTATAATTGTGCAAATGCGTCTTTGACCAAAATAAGTAAGGGTTATAGCTTGGCTGTTAGACTTACTTGATGATAGTTGTAAGTACCAGAACAATACAAGATATTGCAGTTCCACTGCAAACCCAGATGTATCAGACCGGATTTAATGGAAGTGCGGCTAAATCCGAATGATTCTAGTTCTAGGTCTAGTGTTAGTTGTAGTTTTGCACTAGCACTATAACTAGAACCAAGCAATATGTTTGGAGTTATTGTCCCTGCGTGGTTTAATCAACGGTTTACTTGCCATTATTTGCTGTTGGAGTTGCTCAATCATGTGTTTATTTCTTCTTGCGATTTCATCGTCGGAAAGGTTGCTTTTTTGATCGATTGGAGATGGTAAAAGGTTATCTTTACCAACATCAGAAATGTTATGGCAACTCTTAGCTACTACTTGTTCTTCAATTTGACCTCTACTAAGAGCTTCATCACTTTTTCCTATTGTTAAACTATATTGAGGTTGTAATTTCTGCTTGTCGATTGGTTCGCGATATTTAGGTAATGTTGCCAATTTTCTCCCGATGCTTTCGGAGTCTGAGAGCTTTCTGATCGTTTCGTTTGATTTCGCGCTACAA